AAGCCTTCGGCGGGCGCTGCCTCTGGCTCTCCGCCTCGAGGCGTGGCAGCGGCGGCGGCGGCGGCGGCGCGGGAAGGAGCCGCGGACCTGCGACTGGTGAGAGCCACCATCCACCGGGGACGCGGGGCGCGGGAAGAGCATCCTCCCGGCTTCGGGGCCTCCTCCTCCTCCGGTCCCCAGCCCGCGGCTTCGCACCGCTTCCCCCGCTCTCCGGCCCTCAGCGGCCCGGGCTCGCGCCCTCGCCCGCGGGCCTACCGCCCGGGCTCCTCTTTAGTCCCGTTATCGGCCCCCCCCTCCCCCTGGCGGCGGCGGCGGCCGCAGGCAGGTTCAGGGCGCCCGGGCGAGGAGCCGCCGGGAAGCTGTGTGTGCGGGCTGGGGACGGGGCGGAGAGAGGGAGGACTGCCCCGGAGCAGTGCTGCCCAGGAGGAAAACGGGCTGTCCTGGAAGATAATGCCCCGCTAACGGCGTCAGAGGGCGGGGAGCTATTTGATAGGCACGCTGCCCTGGGTGTAAAGGTTGAGGTAAAAGATGACTTGGGGCGTTTGCGCCCAACCCTGACCACATTCTGAGTCTGGGCTTCCTTGGAAGTGTGCTAAGCTTTGTCACACACACCCGTGCACGCACGGACGCGCACCCCGTCCTGAGCACAACTGTTACAGCGCGAACAAGCATGCTTTGCTCCTCTGATAGAGAGAGGCGGGGATTATTGACAACTGATTAACAGGACTGTAGAAGCTCTGGAAGAAGCCAAACAGATTTATAGCTCAGGAATAAGAGTTCTGAATTTCAGAACACTTTTAGATAGACCCGGTTTTTGTTGTTGTTGTTGTTCTGTTTTTTGGTTGTGTGTGTGTGTGTGTGTGTGTGTGTGTGTGTGTGTGTGTGTTTTAATTTCTGTGAGTCTCTGCACTGAGGAAAGAGGAGTCTCCCCCTTCTCCATGGGGGACAGGCTCCAAGATTCTCAGTGGATGCCTGAAACCAGCCGTTAGTACAGAACCCTGTTTTTTCCCCCTCTCTGTATACATATCTATGACGTTTAATGCCTTTACCATTGAACTAAGCACTTACACACTGTGCCTTTACCTTTTAAAGTTTGAAGTGCGACAGCAAAACTAGCACGATTTTTTTCCCCCCTAAACCCATGGAAGATTGATTCTTACTGTAGATTTTAGCAGTTTGTATCTTACTGAGTTGAGAACTTCCATGTTTTCATTTAGAGGAAGCACTTTACTGCTTCTCTTTGGCGTATTTGTACTGCCAGTAGCTCTACTTTTACTATTTGGGACCAGTGTTAAGAAAAATAAAGTTTATTTGAAGAGGAGCATTGTGATACCGTGACAGTCAACTAGATAACCTAGACTGCTATTGGAACAAGTTAATTTTTAGGGGTTGGGTAAAGACAAGCATTAATGTAATTCAAGAAATGAGTTTGCAAGTCTAATCTATTCCCTTTATATGCTAGACATTTCTTGTAGAAACCTTATTGGATTGGCCTAAGTAACTTTGTATTTTTCATAGTTTATTTATATAGCTAGTTTACTTTCAGTTTTGGAAGAATAACCTTTGGGTTACCTAGTAAATACTAAGCATCTTAGTGTTGCCATATATTTACTGTTCTTTTAAAATAAATACAAATTGACCAACCGTGAATGATTTGCTTTGCTTCACCCAGCAAAGTAAATATCCCCAGCAGTGTACTCATCTTAAATGTAACGAATGGAAAAGGATTATGTACAGGAACACTTAAGAAACCAGTTTTAGAAAATATGTTTGTCTCTGAGTATGAGGTAGTGCTTAGATCTTATTAATACGGCAGCATTGTTTTCTTATAATGTTGATGAGATGCCACAGGCCAGTGATTTTCCTCCGTTGTGTTGCAGGAATCTTTAAAACTTGAAATATCTAGCCAAAACCAGTTTGGCTCAGTAGAGTGTCGGCCTGCAGACTGAAAGGTCCCGGGTTCGATTCCGGTCAAGGGAATATACCTTGGTTGCAGGCATATCCCCAGCAGGGGGTGTGCAAGAGGCAGCTGATCAATGTCTCTCTCTCATCGATGTTCCTAACTCTCTATCTCTCTCTCTTCCTCTCTGTAAAAAATCAATAAAATATATATATATTTTTAAATAAAGATTTACTCTAAAAAAAACTTGAAATATCTGAGTAAATAAAAATTATACAATTTTTTTTGTCAAATTGGCAATATATATATATTTTTTTGTTGTGGCGAAGAATTTTAGTAGTTTATGTGTGCCATGAGTTGAAAATTGCTGGCCCAGGGTAAAATTACTTTTGTTTCACTTAGCCACAGAAACTATTGACAATATTAAGTGAGGACTTACTGTATAATTCTTGACAGAATGCTCATTATCTTATAAATGCTTTCTATTAGGTGGAATTAGCTTTTACTGAGATTGTAAATTCAGAATGGCCCAGTAATAGGCAATTTGCGTGATCACAGAAGTTCTAGCCTAAGAGATGAGATACCAACAACAGAGGGCTACTGATAGATTTCCACTGAATTTCAGAGTTTACCCTGATCTGAAGGGAGCTCCCTTAAAAAAATTTTTTCTTTTAATTGGTTTCAGAGAGGAACGGAAAGGGAGATAGAAACATTAATGATAAGAGAAAATCATTGATCAGCTGCCTCCTGCACACTCCTGAGCCCGCAACCCGGGCATGTACCCTGACTAGGAATTGAACTGTGACCTCCTGGTTCATAGGTCGACGCTCAACCACTGAGCCACTCTGGCCAGGCATCTAAAAGGTAGCTCCTTTTTATTGGCATCTTTACTCAAGCTTTTCTGGATTTCTAAGTGCAAATTCTAAACATTGGTACACTTCCTGAAAGATCAACATTGAGATCAGTCTGTGTAGTGAAATTTTATCCCTTGTCTCTAGTTTTTACTTTAAGAATGAAGGGTATAGAGTGGTAGGGAGACAGGAAGGCAGAGGAGTAGAACGATAGTGTGTATCTGTACGGGAGGGCCACAGTGCTCGGAGGCAGGCAGCAACTTAAAGGGCTGGGGTGAGGAGGAATGAGGGGTATGCGAAAGCTTTCCAGAGGAAGTGACACTTAGGCTGTTTTGAGGTCTTAGGAAGTGTTCAGTCAAGAGGGAAAGGAAGTTTTAGGAGAGGTACGTGCTTCTAGAAAAGCACAGACACAGAGGCCCACTGGCTGAACTTCAGGCTCTTCAGCCCAGAGTGAGGGCATTTGAAATGGATGGAGGGATGGGCTAGGTCCAGATTAGAAGTTTGGGCCTTGTCCATAGGTGATGTATCCTGGTTAGCATGATAATCAGATTTATGAACTGTGGAAAGATCACTTGGAAAGTCTGGGAGGCAGGTCAAAGCTAGAGACAGGCAAACTGATAGCTGTTACCCTAGTACAGACCTAAGATGAGGGGTTGGGATGGAGAGGAGAGAGATTTGAAAGATATTCAGGAGGTGTAATTGATTGGGCCTTAGGAGGCACACTGTGACAAACAGGAGACAATATCAAAGCATTTGGATGAATGGAAGGCTCATAACTGAGTGAGAGAACAAGGAAGGAGAACAAGTTTAGGAAAGAAAATGAGTTTGGTTTGTGTCAGTGACTTGAAGGTGTCTGAGGGACAGGAAATTCTGGTGGCATTTGGAGTTGTGAAGTTTGTAATCACTGGCTACAGGTGCTAATGAGGCCCTAAAGGTAGTGTTGTGTTTTAATCTTTGTCTTACTCATCTTTCTATTCCTCAGCACTGATCACAGTGCTTTGTATATCCAGGGGTGTATGGTGTGAAGTTGGATATCATCCTATATAATAAAACCCTAATATGCAAATTGACTGAACAGGAAATGACCAGTCACTATGGTACACACTGACCACCAGGGGGCAGACACTCAACGCAAGAGCTGCCCCCCTGGTGGTCATTGCGCTCCCATAGGTGAGCACAGTGGTGGCAGGAGCCTCTCCTGCCTCTGTGGCAGCACTAAGGACTCACTGGGAGTGCACCTAAGCCCGCAGTCCGACTTCCCCCAAGGGGTCCCGGACTGCGAGAGGGAACAGGCTGGGCTGAGGTCACACGAATGTTGTGCACCGGGCCTCTAGTCCCTTATAAGATGTGATGCTGAATCTTGGGGAAGTAATTTCCCTCTCAAAACCTGTTTTCCTTTTTGTTAATGAAAGAGTTGAACTAGATCAGTAATTCTCAAAGTTTTGCAATAGTCTGGTATATTGGGATTAATTTTGAGGTATGGCAAGTAATTTTTAACTAATAAAGAGCTGAGGTTTGCTTGCCTTTTTAAAAAATATTTTCATTAATTTCAGAGAGTAAGGGAGAAGGAGAAACATCAACAATGAGAGAGAATCACTGATTGGCTGCCTCCTGCGTGCCTCCCACAGGGAATTGAGCCCCAAACTGGGCATGTGCTCTTGACCGGAATCCAACCCGGACCCTTCAGTCCCCAGGCTGACATTCTATCCACTGAGCCAAACAGGCCAGAGCATTTGCTTGCCTTATAAATGTCACTCTTTTTAAATTGCATTCCAGTAATTTTTCTTTTTTTTCTTTTTTTAATCCTCACCGGAAGACATGCTTAGAGGAAGGGGAGGAGGGAGAGAGTAAAGAAAGAGAAACATTGTTGGTTGCCTTCTGTATGCACCCTGACTGAGGATCTGATAGAGCTCCCAACCCAGCTATGTGCCCTGACCGGAAATTGGCTGGCAGTCTTTCAGTGCATGGTGCCCAGGAAGATGCTCAACCTCAACCAACTGAATCACTCCAGCCAGGTGTTTTCCAGTGTATTTCCTTAATTGTAAAAGACAGGGGTGGAGTTATAATTAGTCAGCTGGAATTTCATAACTCTGGATATACCAATGGCTGTGTCACACACAAGTACGGTGGGGGGAAAAGTTAAAAATCACCATGCTGAACGGTGGATAAGGACTTAGAATCGTAAAATTATGTTTATATCTAGGACCTTTCATTCTGATCATAAGTCATTTTTATTTTTGTAACTTTAGGAACTCTATTTTAAGAACCTTTCAAAAAGAAAAAATCAAGTCATGGAGAAGAATGGGAATAATCGGAAGCTGCGAGTTTGTGTTGCTACTTGCAACCGTGCTGATTATTCTAAACTTGCCCCAATCATGTGTGGCATTAAAACGGAACCGGAGTTCTTTGAGCTGGACGTGGTGGTGCTTGGCTCTCACCTGATCGATGACTATGGGTAAGATGAAAGCATTTTCTCATGACACTCTTCATTGCAGCAGCATTGTGTACTGGAGAGAGCTTGGATCCAGGAACTACTCTGTGGATCTAGCTTCAATTCCTAGTTCTACCATTTAGGGTTTTTTTTTTTGTTTTGTTTTGTTCTGTTTTATACTGACCTTCCTGTTGGAAGCACACTATCATTTTGTACACAGTGTTCTTAGAATGGTATCACAATTAATAGCAGCATCTTAGTAACATTTAAAAATATGCCTTATAGGGTTGCAACATTGATTCAAATATTCTTTCCTGAAAATTATCAATGAGGCTTATTTGTCCCCAATTACTCTTTTGTTAAAATGCTTCCCCTGTTTAAAGATTTTTTTCCCATCTTTTATTGATTATTTTTGTCTTGCATGGGTTGAGATGTGAGATTTCAGGTTATGTGAATGGACAAAGCTTCAGTGACAGCCTTCATAGGACACACAAAGCCCTCTCCCCGGTGTGGATGCGCACACATATGTGCAAGTTGGAGGCCAGAGAGAAGCGTCTTCCGCGCCCTTTAAAAGTGCACTGAGAAGGCCGCCTCCAGTTCGGAGCTCTCAGGAAACACCTTCCCGCACGTGGTTGCGGGTGCCATGAACAAGGTGGAGATGCTTTCTCAAGGAATTTCTCGCCTTCAATTCTCTTGCGCATCCACTCTGAGGACAAACAAATTTTTCTGGAGCATCACCTTCTCTATTTTGTTTTGGCTTATTTCTAGCAAATTCTACAATCTGGGTAGGATCTACCAGGCCTAGTGTTGGGTGTTTCTCCAGGAGGAGGCTTCTTGCCTATCATGTGCTCAGAATGCTCAACGAGGGATTTCTCTCCAACACTCTGTTGAGGAAATTCTTTTTTGCCCCTTTTTCCATATAATGCAGGGAACATTCAAAAAGTGAGTTTGCATCATCAAAAACCTGTTGAGAAAACTCCTCCTCTCAGGAAGTTGAAGGACTTAAGAAATATGTCCTCTTCAGGGTGGGTTCATAAAACGCTCCTCGTATGATGTATGATGTAACAGTCAGAGAAGGGATCCTCTTCACCAACCTGATAGCTAATCTCGTGGTCCCCATCTTCATCCCACAGGCCCCTTCACGATGAGGGGCTCCTGCTGGGCAGGCTGGTGTGGCTGGATTTGGCTTATTCCCACCGAGGGCCTTCTGCCCTTGGCCCATGAGTCTTTGCCCTTGTGTTCAGTTGCTGCTCCATGCTGTCCTGTGGTTCCTCCAAGATTTGCACCAGGATATATCAGCCACTTTCGGTAGCAGTGATCTGGGTGAGTCTGTAACAGGCACCTGCAGACTGTCAGAATATGAGAGCAAGGTCCTCTTCTGTCCTATCACAGGTGCCAGCACTCAGGACAGTTGTCCCTTGATATTGTGTCATTCACTCTACTTCCTCTTCCATTTCCTTTCAGAGCGAAGCCGAGGAGGAAGGTGCTTGTGTTCCCAACAGCATTTAAAATCTCTACCACTTAGTTTTTACGTGGTCTTAGAGAAGTATAATAGCTTAGCATCTCTGAGCCTCAGATTCCTCAATTACAAAATGAAGTGAAAACCTGTGATGTAGGTTATTGTGAAGAATGGAGATAGTGATATAGAGAATTCATCACAATGATGCTGCTTAGCCGAAACCGGTTTGGCTCAGTGGTAGAGCGTCGGTCTGCGGACTGAAAGGTCCTGGGTTCGATTCCGGTCAAGGGCATGTACGTTGGCTGTGGGCATATCCCCGGTGGGGCATGTGCAGGAGGCAGCTGGTCGATGTTTCTCTCTCATCGACGTTTCTGGCTCTCTATCTCTCTCCCTTCTTCTCTGTAAAAATCAATAAAATATAAAAAAAACACACAAAACAAACAAACAAACAAAAACAATGATGCTGCTTAATGGATGCTTGATAAATAGCTATTAATATTATTTATTTGTTATTATATTAAGGAGAAATGGCACTTACATGTTGTGTGATATAATAATGTGATTCCATGTTATATGTTTTGTGAGTTCTAATGGTAATTTGACATTAAAACTGGTATATGGATCAATAGCATATAGAGTAGTAGATATGGAACAAGATTTTTAAAAAATCTAATTTATTTACTAGGCTAAGGAAAATGTTATTTTACCATTACCATTGATATTTATTTTGATGACATTAGGTTTGTTATTGATCAGAGGTGAAATATGAAAAGTGAAAATTGGGAAATTTTTGAAGGAGCAGAGTATATAAACCAAAGGTGAACATTCATTTTATTATATGTAACAAAGTAGCAGTTAGTGCGCCCTTGTGGCATGAAACTGTTAATGCAATCTTCAAAGATGGTCAGAAATACAATATTAAGTGTGAAAACAGCTTGTGTTGAAGTAAAATTGTTTGTTTGTCTTTCAGACTGTTCTTTAAAAACAAGATAATCACAATAACAAAACAAACAAATAAAAACCTGCCTCCAAAAACCAATTTAGCAATTTTCTCTAAGAACTTAGAGTAGAACCAAACCAGTTTGGCTCAGTGGATAGAGCGTCAGCCTGCGGACTGAAGGGTCCCGGGTTCGATTCCAGTCAGGGGCATGTGCCTGGATTGCGGGCACATCCCCAGTGAGGGGTGTGCAGGAGGCAGCTGACCGATGTTTCTCTCTAATCAATGTCCCTCTCCCTTCCTCTTTGTAGAAGATCGATGAAATATTTTTTTTAAATAAAATAAAACAAAAATAAAAAGAACTTAGAGAAGAAATTTATGAACAGCCAAAATTTTCATAGCTTTTAAAAATATGAAACTCTGCCTAAGAAAATCCATGTTAGGGTTCAGTTTGGTAGTATAAATTACGTGGGTTTGGACAAATCTATAATGACATGAACCCATTGTTACAGTATCATTCAGAGTTGTTTCACCGCCTTAAAAATCTGCTTTCCGTATCCACCCTTCTCTACCCTCACCCCAGGAAACCACTGACTTTTTCTTTACTGTCGCCATAGATTTACCTTTTCCAGGATGTCATAGAATTGGAACCATACAATATGTAGCCTTTTCAGATTGGCTTCTTTCATTTAGCGATAGCATTTAAGTTTCCTTCATGTATTTTAATAGCTTGATAGTGATTTCTTTTTAGCGCTAAAGAATATTATTATAAACATAAGTATTGCAGCTTTTTGGGTGGATTGTGGACATAAGTTTTCATCTTCTTTGGGTAAACAGAGGAGCACGATTGCTGGATTGTATGACTAGAGTACACTTAGTTTTGTAAGAAACTGCCAAGCTGTCTTCCAAAGTGGCTGTATCATTTTGTTTCCCCCCAACAATGAATGAGAGTTCCTGTTGCTCAAATTCTTCATCAGCATTTGGTGGTGTCAGTGTTCTGGATTTTGGCTAATATAATAGGTGTGTAGTGGTATCTCATTGTTTTAATTTGCATTTTCCTGATGACATAAGGTGTGAAGCATCTTTTCATATGCTTTTTTTTTTTTTTGCCATCTTTATAACATCTTTGGTGAAGGGTCTGTTAAGATCTTTAGCCCATGGTTTAATTGGTTGTATTATTTATGAGTTTAAAGCCATGGGCTAAATAAGAAATCCTAAGGGAAATTAGAAAATATTTTTGCCCTAGCTGGTTTGGCTCAGTGGACACAGTGTCAGCCCTGGGGACTGAAGGGTTCCGGCGATTTTGGCCACGGGTACGTACCTTGGATGCAGGCTTGATCCCCGGCCTGGTCAGGCGCATGTGGGAGGCAACCAATCAATGTTTCTTTCTCTCCGTCTCCCCGCCCCCACCCCACCCCTTCCTCTCTCTTCTAAAAATCAGTGGAAAATTATCCTCGGGTGAGAATTAACAAAAAATAAAAATAAATGTAAAAAAAAAATATTTTGAACTGTGTAATAAATATTACAATATACCAAATCCGTGGTTGTAAATGAAGCAGTGCTTACAGGGAAATTTATAGCTTTAAATACTATATTAAAAAGAAGACAAGTTTAGAGTCAATGATCTGTTTCCACTGTAGTAAACAAGAAGGAAATAATAAAGAGTGGAAATCAGTGAAATATAAAAATAAGTTAAACAATAGAGAAAATTAACAGTCAAAAGTTATTTCTTTCAAAATATTACAGCCTTTAAAAGAATAAAAGAGGGGACATATGTAACACTTCCAACAATAAAGTTTTAAGAAAGAGAATAAAAGGGGAATATTAGGCTAAGAAAATTGACAATCAATTTAGATGGAGTGGCAAAACGATAATATATTACCACCAAGTGGGCTTATCTCAGAAATTTTAACATCTGAAAATCAATTATAATTCACATCTCAACAGAATAAAGGGGAAAACCCATACAATCATATCAATACATATTAAAAATATTTGATGAAATTAAACAGCTAGTTATGATAAAAACTTGTAGTAAGCTTGGATAGAATGGATAAAGGACATCTGTGAAAAACCTACAGCTAACATAAAATTTATGCTTTCCTCCTAAAATTGGGAACAAGGTAAGGGCTCCCACTTTTACCACTTCTCTTCAATTGTACTAGATATAACAGCCAGTACAATGAAGCAAGGTGTATAAAGACATAAAGATTGTCTTTATTTACAGGCAACATAGCTTGTATAGGAAAATCCAAAGGAATCTGTGGAATGACTAATAGAAGTCCATATAATATACAGTGATGTATGTAAAGAAGCTGTCATGATCTGAAGAAATTAGTGTTACGTGAATGCAAAATTGTATGTAATCTCAACCAGATTAAAATATTATGCATAAAATGGCTAGAAAGGAAATCAAAATGATAACACTGAGTGTAGGTTTATGAATGATAATTTTTAGTATTTTCCAATTTTTAAATAATAAATATATATTTAGAAAAAAAAAAGCCATATCTTTTAGAATCTTATAACAGACAGGAAACTTTAAGGCATTGAGAATTACTGTTGTTACTAAAGCCTGAAACGGCATTTCACAGCCAATTTAATGCTGTGAAAGTTACAGTCAGAACTCTGCTGCATTAATAGTACCATACAAGGAAAATTCAAGTGATGATTTCCATCATTCAAAAATTGGTATTGTTGTGATATGGTTGGTGTCCTGGTTCCCTACTATATTTTTAAAATGAGCTTTGCTTTTATAAATAACATTTTTTCCTATTAAGTAGCATATTTGTTTTTAAACATTTATAAATATAGAAAAAAAGAGAGAAAATGTCATGACTAGTGTAAATTTCGGTCTCTTTTTTTCCTAATAAAAACCCTCCCCCTCAGATAGTTTTCTCTCCAGGTACTCACTGGGAGGGGCACAAGTGAGATTCCAAGATGTTGGATGGTTATGTCTTAATCTGGGTGGTAGCTACAGGTTAATGCAGGTAGAAAAATTAATCGGGTGATATAATGCATTTATGGTCTGTTTTTAATTTTTTTGTAAGTTATACTTCAATTTGTTTAACAAGGAAATTTTATAAAATATTTCTCCTTTCAGAGTTGATTTTAGATAGCTTTTCTCATGTTTTTGTCATCATTTCTCTCTTGCTTCAGAAATACATACCGCATGATTGAACAAGATGACTTTGACATTAACACCAGGCTACACACGATTGTTAGAGGGGAAGATGAGGCAGCCATGGTTGAGTCAGTAGGCCTGGCCCTAGTGAAGCTACCAGATGTCCTTAATCGCCTGAAGCCTGATATCATGATTGTCCATGGAGACAGGTTTGATGCCCTGGCGCTGGCAACATCTGCTGCCTTGATGAACATCCGAATCCTTCACATTGAAGGCGGGGAAGTCAGTGGGACCATTGACGATTCCATTAGACATGCCATAACAAAACTGGCTCACTATCATGTGTGCTGCACACGAAGCGCAGAGCAACATCTGATATCCATGTGTGAGGACCATGACCGCATCCTTCTGGCAGGCTGTCCTTCCTATGACAAACTTCTCTGTGCCAAGAACAAAGACTACATGAGCATCATTCGCATGTGGTTAGGTATGTATCAGACTTTATTCAGTCTTAATGGTTGTATTTGTCAGTATTGGGTATGTTTTAGCCCTTCCAGAAACCATCGTGGATGGAATATTCCATTAGCAATCAGAAGGCTAAGGTTTTAGTTCATAGCTCTTACTCTATGATATGACTTCACCTCTAGAGACTCACCTTTTCTGTAAAATAGGCTTAATGGATTGAATCTATGATGTGTTTATACAATGGAATGCTTTTAATCCATTAAGTATAATGTGATGGGTGAATATTTAGTTACAGAGATAGATCCTGACATAGCAAAAGGGGGGGGAAGCAAGCTAAAAAAGTTATGTATAATATGCCATTTTTATGAAAACAGTAACATAATGGAAAGTTCAAGGAAGTATGTACACCAAGTCACTTATAACATTTATTTTTGGTTAGTAGAATTATGGGCGTTTTTATTTTTGTTTTCCTTTCATTTGTTTTTTAGTACAGTGAAAAATGTTATTTTTATTTCTAATGTCTTTGTTACATGATTGTTGGAATACTCATATGAGATAATGAATGCTGAAAGCAGTTAGTAAGCCATAGTCCTTATGAAAAAAAGATTATGATGATTATTAAAAGCAAAAGTCATAGTTGTACCACCAGTTTGTTATATCTATAGATAAGTATTAAGGTCTGAAGTCTTCAATGTTCATTGATCTAGCCTCCTGGAAATTACCTTTTGCTAATCAGAGCCAAAGAAAATAGGGTTACAAACAGAATTTTATTTGGTTATTTATAGAGTACTATCTAGAGAACAAATCAGGATTAATTATCTGTTGAGATACTTAGGGCTCTCCTTTTTAAAGAGGTAGAACTATTTAAAAATGAAGTTGATGAATAATAGGTGATTGTATACTTAAAGTGATTATGTATATTTTAAATCATATCACATTAAAACAGGAAAAGGATCAGGCTTTCCTTTTTAGAAGTTAATCCATTCTACATATTTTTTATTCTTGGACAGATTTGTAGTTATTAAGGAACATTTCTAGATAATGCTAGTGGAAGAAACTTGTCTCTTTAGTCTATCCTTTTTATATGCTTCTAAGCAAACATTCTTTCATTCTGATTACATTGTTAGCTCTTATATGTATTCTGACAAACTGGATTTTTGAAAAACTTATAATGAATGGAAAATAATCCTTATACAGCAGAATGTAGCAAGCTTGTACTTGTAAGGCTAAGGGTCTATTTGGAACCACTTGAGCAGTTTATGAAAAGAAAGATGACAAAGGAGCCAAAAAGATTAAAAAACAACAGTGTGTGTTTTGGGATGGAGGTGAGTGGTAACAAGACAGTGAGCCCAAGCTACCTGTCCCTAGCAATGATACCTTGTGCAGTGTCTGTACCTGCTTTTTCTGATGTCTATCACCTTACTTACAGGAAAAAATAGTGTTGTAACTTTGTAACCAGAACATTAATAAATAGCAGTCCTAATAAAAATTTAGCAAAGTTAAAAAGACTTATTAAATTCCCAATATAGAAAGAAATGCCACAAAACAAATGATGGTACCTTAATGGAAAGGGTTGTGCGGGAGGATTGAAGCTGCTGACTGAGTTCTGGGAATAAAGGCAGAGAGAGAATGTCGGAAGTTGTGTGGAGAAGCTTTGCACAAAATGTTTTATTGCCAGAGATGGGCAGCTCCAGCTTATTGTCCTGTTTTCTTTTTCACTAGTTTTTGCTCTGTAGCTATCCTTTCTTTTATAAATAAACTAGCTCCAGATAGAGCCTGGAGTTACAAAGTGCAATTTCGCATTATATGGTTATGTAGTACAGATGTTTCTTAGTCACACTAGTAAATGAGAAATGGAAGCTCTCCTGGGTTAACTGCTGGAATTTTTCTTCATCTCCCACTTGCCCCTTAGCAGTAAGTTGTAGCCATAAGTGATATAGAATGATCCTCTGCATGGGGCTACAGGACCTCTCTAACATCTTCACTCTCAAAGCAAAATTGCCCTTCCCTCCCCACAATACACACACAGCCATGGTCAGAGACACATGTCCCAAAAGTGTTCTCAAGACAGAGTACCTGGGTACACTGAACCAAGAGAAAGAAGTGGAGTGACAGTTGCCTAACAAAAATATGTTAGACAGTTGCCTAACAAAAATATGAGCAATATTGTGTACATTTACATTAAGGTTCTTTGTATCCAGCCATGGGGAATCATGTATGAATAACTAAACTGTACATTAAAGATGTCATTCCTTTATTTACCAACCACAGATGAACTAATTCACATTTTAGAAATGTGCATTATAGCGGGACCAACTTGTACTATATCTTTCATCTTTCATTGCTGTTTCTCTCCCCATAGTTTTTTGGTTTTTAAAAAATATATATTTTATTGATTTTTTACAGAGAGGAAGAGAGAGGGATAGTTAGAAACATCGATGAGATAGAATCATCGATCAGCTGGGGATGTGCCCGCAACCAAGGTACATGCCCTTGACCGGAATCGAACCCGGGACCCTTCAGTCCCCAGGCCGACGCTCTATCCACTGAGCCAAACCGGTTTCTGCCCTATAGTTTGTTTTTTATTTATTTATTTTTTTAATTGATTTCAGAGAGAAAGGGAGAGGGAGAAAAAGATAAACATCAGTGATGAGAGAGAATTGATTGGCTGCCTCATGCATGCCTCCCACTGGGGATTGAACTTGCAACTTAGGCATGTGATCTGACCAAGAATTGAACCATGACCTTCTGGTTCATAGGTTGACGCTCAACCACTGAACCACACTGGTCCAGTTCTCCCCATAGTTTCTAAAGGCCCTGATCTATAGCTAGCAAATTACTTAAATTTATGTTGACCTCATCTTCCTGGACTTGATTCTGATAGATTCTCTTAGACCTTTGCACAAAAAAATTTCTACTTGCACAAAAATTGAATAATTATATCACCCTAACCCTATTTTGGAACACAATATAGGATCAATAATTTTTTTAATATAATTTGGGAACCTAACTTTTTTAAATCAGTTACTACTGAAAATTCTTAGTAAAAATTCTGTTACCATTAAATAATAAAAATAACTGCTATTTGAATTTGATAATTAATAATAAATATATGATGCATTATAAAATTGATCATTAAAATTACATAATATCACAAAGAAATATACTCTCATTAAAAAATAAGTGATTGGAGCTCATTTTATGGGTTAATATAAGCCCTATTGATAAATGTTCTGTGTTCTTTGGTATAGCACTATCCATCTGACCCATTTACATTTTTATTCTTATTATTTTTTATGTAGATAATGTTAATTTATTGTTTACATATTAGGCAGTTTAAAAAAGAAAAATCCTACTCTCTAGAACATGACCCATTTACATTTTTAAATCTTTGCTGAGGAACTGTCCTTTATGATCCCAGCCTTAGGATAAGTAAAGCCATTCTAGTCCTTTGAACAGAGTTAGAAATATTTGCCATTTGTTGAATGGTAATGGTATAAGGAAGCTCCTATGTATTATATGAAATATATTTAATGCTCATCCAAACTCTGAATGTCCTGATTTGCAACATATTGTTATTCATTGATATTACTGATAATTCATTAAAAACACTAGTTTGAAATTGGGAAAATTCACAGTTTTCTAATGCTTTGGAATATTTAGACTTGAAACAATGAATTCTAGTTAGTATCTTCTATTTAAAGTCATATATTTTGTTTGTGGTAGCAAGTACCTTTATAAAATGTTAAGTTTGTCAAATCCTTGGACTTTTTGCTATAAGTTTTTATCATTTGAACCCAATTTGGATGACTGGGTTAAAATATAACAAACTTTTTTCTTTCTCATTTGTAAAAGCACAAACTGGGATCTGCCTTTTGGAATTTTCTTCTTCCTCCTTTGAGATTCTTAACTAATGAAGCAATGTGGTTTGGTTTTGCAGGTGATGATGTAAAACCTAAAGATTACATTGTTGCTCTTCAACACCCAGTGACCACTGACATTAAGCATTCCATTAAGATGTTTGAATTAACACTGGATGCACTCATCTCATTTAACAAGCGGACCCTCGTTCTGTTTCCAAATATTGATGCAGGTAATTGGACTTAAAAATGAAAGTATGCCACCTAGCTTTCCAGTTGAATGTTTCTGTTATGCCTTCTTTTGACTGCCCTTCGTATCTTGCCCATTTTATATTGAAGGCTGCTGTATTCTGAAATGCGTTCCAGTTTTCAAAGGATCACCAATTTTATAGTAGATTGAAGAGATTGTGATGCTTTTGTAAAGTCTAATAGAAACTGAATAATAATAAATCTCTCTAATCTTCATTCTAGTTTTATATTAAATATCTTCCCTCCAGTTTATACCAGTGAAAAAACTTCTAAGGTTTGTCTCATGCAATAGCAAAGAGACAAACCTTAGAAGTTGAGTGTCTTTATTAAAGTAATGATTCCACTGACTACAGTAAAATAGCCATATTATTATTTCTTCTCTTCTTTATATTAACTGTACCTTAAAGTAATCTTGAGCTTCAACAGTTTAGAGCTAGAGTCCCCAGTTGACCCTCAAGCCTGACCTGATGGATCACCTACCAGTGGATGGTTCTGTAGGCTTTGGTGCTGTTGATACCTTAACCATGTTAATGGGGATATGAGATATGAATGAGAAGTGCTAGAGCGGGGCCTGACACTAAGGAATTTTCAAATATTCATTATTAGTTGACACCACTCATTGCTGAGCTCTGTGGCACTTTGTGGAAAAGGAGGCAGGATTGTTTTCTGCAATGTCAAGCTGTCATCATCTTTCTCTGAAAGAATCCTTGTCTTAGTGTTAATTGGGGGAGAAAAGTTAACCCACAGCCATGATTTTGTCCAGGTAATTTAACAATATTTCAAAAACCTTAATATTTCTTCTATTATAATCCTTTAGACTTTTGTATAAATATCTGTAATTATAGATCTCTCTTGTTTAATACTTATTGCCAATTGTGTTTTGTTTGTAATATACTTTCCTGATTGTATACCTTAAATTAGAAATATTTTTCCCCTCTGAAAGTAAAGGATCCCAGGAATGCCTAAATCATGCTTACCACCCCCTTTCCTTCTCACAGAGTTTTTGATAAAATATACACAAGGAACAATAGGGAAATAAGAATCAAGGCATCACTTTCTCATTATCTGTTTAGTGCCCAGTTCCCTAATATAGAACCCTCTGGAAAACAGGATTAGTACCTGTAATCCAGGCCAAAAACAAGCCACACCACATTTGAATCTTGGAATAATAGCACCTTCTGGCGTTCTATAATGACTATAGACGTAGCTAGGCCTGTGTTAAAAAGTAGACCCTCACTCTATTATCTCACCACACAGAGAAAGTTAAAATGAGAGAGAACATTATATTATATTCCCAGCTTTTGTTAAATCAGTGGAGAATGCAGAGTGGTTGCTGTCCTGCCTTCTAACCAACCAAATTAGCAACTTTGCCTCCCTTGGTAGCTAGGAAAGGATGACTAGAGAGGGAAGCAGAGAGGCTTCTCCCTCATATATCGAACATTTTTTTAAATCACACACACATTTAAAATAAGATATCAGCCCAGTATCAGAATCTATCTGTATTTTGTTGGAGCTTAGTCCACATAAGTGGGAGTGCTATCCCATTGAGCTATTGTCAGCTAGCTGGGTGGAGCCAGCTTCAGAGATAGAGACTAGTGGCCTGTCTTGAGCCTTTTAATTGTTGTTTAAGGTAAAGACTTTTACTGGGGCATTTATAAAAGGTATTTGCTTTGCTGAGTGCTGTTTGAAATGTCCCAACTATTTAAAGTTCCTAGATGAGTTGAAGTAGAAAGCTAATAAGACAGCTAGTTAGTCATCACTAATGAAAAGATCAACAATTACAATTAAAATGACTATTTCCTGAATAACTGTTATGAGTATTTATGGAAAGATTTCTTTAAGTGGGGTTTTACTTGACAATGAAAACTGTTTCTTCCATAAACCATGTAACAGTTGGTTCTTTTCATTTTCACAGGGAGCAAAGAGATGGTTCGAGTGATGCGGAAGAAGGGCATCGAGCATCATCCTAATTTTCGGGCAGTTAAACATGTGCCGTTTGAACAGTTTATACAGCTGGTTGCTCATGCTGGTTGTGTGATTGGAAACAGCAGTTGTGGGGTACGAGAGGTTGGAGCTTTTGGAACACCAGTGATCAATCTAGGAACACGGCAGATTGGAAGAGAAACAGGTATCTACCTTTGCTTTTACTTCAGCTGACTAGGCTTAATAGATATGTATGAGTTATTATAAAATGTGTGATGACATACATTTTTATCAAGTGAATGAAGTTAATGACCAACTGTAGCTTAAAGTTTACATAAAGCACACGGAGATTACCAAACTTTTTAAGGCTCTACTTAACATTTTTATTGTCTTTGTCTTTTTAATATATATATATATATTTATTTTTAATAGATTTTTATTGACTTCAGAGAGGTAGGGTGAGAGAGGGATATATATACATATAAATATACATATACATATACATATACATATACATATACATATACATATACATACATACATATATATATGCACCTAAGTGACTGTTAAGACCAAACGACCTGAATGACCAATCGCCATGACATGCACTGACCACCAGGGGACAGATGCTCAATGCAAGAGCTGCCTCCTGGTGGTCAGTGTGCTCCCACAGCCAACTTCCTGCAGCTCCTTCCCCAACTGGCCAACCTCCTCTGGCCTCCCCACACTCCCCCATCAACTGGCCCCCCAATAGGCCTCAATCGCTGGCCATGCACGAATTTGTGCACTGGGCCTCTAGTAGAAATATAAACATCAATGATGAGAGAGTATCGTTGGTCAGATGCCTCCTGCACACCCCACACTGGGGGGTCGAGCCTGCAACCTGAGCATGTGCCCTGTCTTGGAATCGAACCATGATCTCTTGGTTCATAGGTCAACACTCAACCACTGGCCACACTGGCTTGACTTTATTGTCTTTGTAATATCAGTTAGAGCTAAGAGTTTCCTAGTTAATTGTGGTCTTCGATGGCTGTGTAGAAGGGAGAATGTGATATTAGTATATGAATGCTAGTCTTTCATCTTCTGGGTCTAGTAGAGTCCCTTTAGTCAGTACTTCAGACTAAATGGCAATTCTAAATAAGATGCCTCCTTAATAACTAAAGTATAAGTAGGATTATTAATGAATTTGCTAATTGGGCTTATCCTATCATTAATCATTTGTACGCCATAAGCATCTATTGATGCAAGCCGCAGACCTTTTTAAATTAAATTCAAAATATCGTGGCAGTTAACTGATTAACATTAGTCTGAGTTCTAATACTGTCAATATGCAAATATATTTCTATAGCTAATGGAAAAAATATATGTAGTTCATAGAAAAAGACTTAGACTAGAATCAAGGGCGTTAGTTCCAGCTCTTTTCCCCATTCTTTGTACCGTATTTTTCGGACCATAAGACGCACTTTTTTTCCCCCAGAAGTGGGGGGAAAAGTCCCTGCGTCTTATGGTCCAAATATAGCCCACACATATACTTTAAAAAAAAAGTTTTTTTACTTGCCCGGCTCTGGGTGGTCTCTGTGTGCTTGCCCGGCTCTGTGTGCTTGCTGCAGCCACTGTCCATTCCTCCGTGCTCAGAGTGTCTGCCCCGCTCTGTAAACCCCGAGTGGTAGAGGAGTTCCCATGGATGGTAGTCAGCCTCCATGCCCTCGCTGCAGCCACATCTCCATGTCAGCCCAGGTGCGGTGTACGGTAACTGCATAATCCAAACCGTAATCATTGCCTGTACCCCTTGCTGGCCCGTACTCCGTGCTCAGAAGAATGCTGCGTCTAGTATTACTGAAGTCTCTCGTTATTGTGTTTTACAGAACATTTTGTCTTTTGCTGACTGTATTTGTTAATAATGGTTCTAAATGGTTCTAAATGCTGCTGTTTACTTTACAGGGTTGATTACATGTATTTATGGCTGTGATGTTGGGTTTTAATGCACATAAAATATTTTAGGATACTATTTGTTTCAGAATCTTTTTTTCTTCATTTCCCTTCTCTAAAAACTGGTGCGTCTTATGGTCCGGTGCATCTTATGGTCCGAAAAATATGGTAATTACCACCCTAACTGCATTATCTTCATCTTTTTATTTTTATATTTTGGCCTTTTTTGGTATATTTATTTGTAAAGCACCTTGACCTATACTTAGTAGTAGTTTTTTGTTTTTTTTTAATTTTTAAAATTTTATTTTAATTTAAATTCTTTATTGTTTAAAGCATTATTCTGAATTATCTTTTGACCTTATTTCTTTTCATTCCCAAAGTATTATTTTGCTCCCTACTACACAGAGAAAATTGAAGCCACAAGATGAAAATTCTTTCAACTTCATTCATTCATTCATTAAGAAAACATTTAATAAGCACCTACTATGTGTTGGGCATTAGGATTCAGTAGTAAACTAGTCTAAATTGGGTTGAGCTCTCATGTAACTTTCATTCTAGTGGGAGGAGAGATGATAGACCAAAAAATAAATTCAGCTGTGTGCTGTCCAGACTAGAACAAAGGTAATGTGTGGGCTACATTAGATTAGGTAAGGGAAATCCTTGTTTAGGAAATGATGCTAAGCTGAGATATGAATGACAAAGAATTAGCTATGTGAGGATCAGGGAGAAGACTAGGAAAACCCTACTATGAAGACCCTAAGATAGGAATAAGCTTAATGTCCAGTTATCCTTTTCTCTTTCATGTATCATTAGCTTCCTCATCATCTAAACATGCCTAAGCCTCAAATATCTTAAAACAAAACAGTAAAAATACCGCTTCCTTGACCCCATACCTCTTCCAGCCACCACCCTTCTGCTCTTCTCTTCTTACCCAAGTTTATTGAAAAACATGACATTTTCATTATATTTACTCCTTCATGTTGGTCAGAAACTACGTGGAGAGAAGGTGACTGCAGGAACAGCTAATGGCTAACTGACTAACGGACCACCTTGTCCTGACCAGCTGATTGAACAACTGGCTAAGTAGATAGGGAGGGCAGTCTGAAAGACTGGACATGCTAGATGACTAGATAAATGACTTGTGGATTCTAGGTCAATCTACCTTATTTATTTCAAGAAACATACAAAAATTTAATTAATTTTATTTGGGAATGAAGGATGCTAGTATTTGATATATGTATACTTTTGCTGAGAGAGCTTTAAAAGATAAACAGTAGAAAAGTTGATGTTTTTCTAAAGGAAGACTTATTTGAGACCTCTGGGTTTCAGGGATAATTATGATAACATACTGCTAATTTTTTTATTCTTTGGCTATTCCTGCTTCTGAATCATTGTATTGTGTCACTGGACTTTCCTAGGGGAGAATGTTCTTCATGTCCGGGATGCTGATACCCAAGACAAAATATTGCAAGCACTGCACCTTCAGTTTGGTAAACAGTACCCTTGGTGAGTACATACCCTCTTTTCTAAAAGTGATTTAAAAGAGGAGATGCCTCACAAATTTTTTTTTTAAAATATATATTAAAAGAGGAGATGCCTTGGGCACCATTTCTAAGCTGTGGTCACTGTTGAATCATCCAAACAGAGCTCTCATTCTCCATCCCTAGGATCCCTAGCTGGTGATAAAACAGAGCTTGGTAATATATACCCCTATTACTGTACCAAGGATTCTGATGAAGAATAATTTTTTTATTTGTCTCAGTTAACATAGCTAGGAAATGCTTCTTTAGCTTACTTTGAATTTTCATAAGTATTATATAGCAATATAACTGATTTTCTTCTAAAATAGTCTAGTTTAGCCTGTCCAGTGTGGCTCAGCAGTTGAGTGTCAATCAAGAGATCCTTGGTTCGATTCAGTTCTATTCCAGGTCAGGACACATGGTGGGTTTTGATCCCTAGTAGGGGCATGCAGTAAGGCCAATCGATGATGTTTCTCTCTCGTAGATGTTTCTATCTATTTCCCTTTCTCTCTTCCTAAAAATCAATAAAAACATATTTAAAGTAAAAATAATTTAGTTCTGCCTAGCTGGTTTGGCTCAGTGGATAGAGCATCAGCCTGTGGACTGAAGGGTCCCAGGTTCAGTTCTGGCCAAGGGCACATGCCTGGGTTGTGGGCTCAATCCCCAGTAGGGGGTGTGCAGAAGGCAGCCAATCAATGATTTTCTCTCATCATTGATGTTTTTATTTCTCTTTCCTTCTCCCTTCCTCTCTGAAATCAATAAAAATATATATATATTTTAAAGTAAAAAAAAAAAATCTAGCTCACCCTGAAGGTACAAGTAAAAAAAAAAAAAAGAAAGAAGAAAGGTCTGGTTTAGCATTTTAATTTAGACTGCCCTCCTTTCTATTTTAAATTAATGAGTGGTCTCATGTATTTGAATGTTTTTTTTTCCTGAAAATAACTTTTCCCCACGAAGGTAAAGACAAAAACTAAAAACTAAAAAATTCGTTGTCACAAACTGTTATATTCTGATATAGGCTTAACAAAACTAATTTTTCTTTGATAATATAGGTATTTTTTAATGGTACCTCAGGATGAAAATAATTGTATTTCAATCAACAATGGAATTCAACATTGCATAGGTGACATGTGCTTACTTACTGTGTTGCTAAAGAGATCCATATGTTGTTATTTTCAAAGGAAAAAAGACAAATTTTGTTACCTCAAGTCTGAGATTCCATTAATATGTCTTCAATATAATTTAGCATGTATGAGAGAAGCATTTAATTGGACTTTTTGGATATTGCAGCTCAAAGATATATGGGGATGGAAATGCTGTTCCAAGGATTTTGAAGTTTCTCAAATCTATCGATCTGCAAGAGCCACTACAAAAGAAATTCTGCTTTCCTCCTGTGAAGGACAATATCTCTCAAGACATTGACCATATTCTTGAAACTCTGAGTGCCTTGGCTGTTGATCTCGGTGGGACAAACCTCCGAGTTGCAATAGTCAGCATGAAGGTAAAAGAACTCCTAAGGTCTTAAATTTATATCTCATATGAGTAATTGATTTTTAAAAAGCATGGTTGGAAGGTAAGACTAGTAGCATACATGAAAGCTTGTAATCATTTGCCCACAGTATTGACTTTTTGGATCCATTTCAGTATTTGTCATTATTTTACTAATCATTAACATTCAAAGAAGTAAAATTCTTGGGGAAGCCAAGTTAGGAGACTTAGGTTGACAATGGGAGACGATTTCAGCCCTAGACAGGTCTTTTGCCACCCAGGAGACCTGAAATTCTGTATTTGGTTAATAGCTTAGCCTGTGGAGTATGCTGACTACTTACCTAAGGAGGGTGTCTGCAGATGTGACGGGAATGGTATCTCCTCTAGAATATGATTTTGGTTGAGTACAGCATACCTCACTCCCTTAACCAAACCATCACCACAGTGTTGACAGAGGTTGAGCGAGCCTTCATAAAAACACTAAATTGTCTGAGTTAAAATGATTTAACAAGGAAGAATAAACCTACCAGAAAAATATTTGAAATATTGTTGCTACATAAAGTTTCAGGAGTTTATTAGAAATGGCAAAGATTTTTTTTTTTCCCCTTTGGAAATAGCAAAGATTTTAAACATAAAGTTGTTTAGGTCAGTAGAGAAAAACAAAATATAATTTTCTCAAAAGAAGCCAAAGGCCTCTTTTATTACAAAATTCTAATAAGAGAATATTTTCTTAACATGACTATAATATATTCTACATCAGTGGCCAATACCCTTTGTCATGGTGAAATTCTAGAGGCATTCTTACTGCAATTAAGAGGAAAAGAAGGATGTTTTCTATAACATCACTGAACATAATTCTGGGAATTATGAAGGGAATAAAATATGGAACAAACTGCAAAAATGGAGAATGTGGACAGGATAAAACAAAAATATTTGGCTCAGTGAATCAAGTGTTGAATTCCTCTCTAAAATTAATTAAAAAAAATTTTTTTTTAAAGAGAGAGATGGGGGTGAGGAGGAGGGTGTCATCTGGCTGGCTCTGGAGTTGTCATCACTCCAACAGTCATATCCCAGGCTGACTTCCCAGGAAACAACTTTGGCATATCCAAGGGCTGGCCCAAGCCAGACTGACTCCCTTCTAAAGCAGACATCGGGATCTGTAGAACTGTCCCATGGCGGAGTCTGATACATCGTGAAAAGGATAAAAGATTCACTGTGTATGCTCAGCGAATGAAGGTTTTGTTTTTTCTCTTTTAGGGTGAAATAGTTAAGAAGTATACTCAGTTCAATCCTAAAACCTATGAAGAGAGGATTAATTTAATCTTACAGATGTGTGTAGAAGCTGCAGCAGAAGCTGTAAAACTTAACTGCAGAATTTTGGGCGTAGGTAAGATTGTGGATTATGTGTCCGAAATGTTCATTTTGATGTACAAACTTACTGAAGTCCTGCTGCATGACCGAACAGCAAGTGCCTGTCTCCAGACGGCTCCCCCCCGGTCTGTGGCCACCAGCCAGCGTAATGGGAAAAGCATTGTTAGTGCTGTATATCTGGGAACTAGATATTTAGCTCAGGACTGTTTGTCATTTCTTTGCAATCCTTGGTAATGTTTGTCTTAGGATATGTTGGGTGAATTAATTTGTGTGTTAAGCCCTGGAAGTCGGCACACTTTTCTAAGATTGCTAATTAGTTATTTTGCCTGTTTGTGTTTGTGGTGGAGCTCAGGTATTTCCACAGGTGGCCGCGTAAATCCTCGGGAAGGAGTTGTGCTGCATTCAACCAAACTGATCCAAGAATGGAACTCTGTGGACCTCAGGACTCCCCTGTCTGATACTTTGCATCTCCCCGTGTGGGTAGACAATGATGGCAACTGTGCCGCCATGGCAGAAAGGAAATTTGGCCAAGGAAAGGGCCTGGAAAACTTTGTGACATTTATTACAGGCACAGGTAAGAGTAGGGGACGGTTGCTTCAGGAGCTGGAGTGTGTGCTGGGCACACCTTTAACTCTTGGGCAGTTTGCAACTTGCTATAGCCTGCTTGAGTAGGGCCTGAAAGTGAGCCACACGGGAGAGCTGAGGGTCTGCTCAGGTCATTACTGAGCATGTGTGTGGCCTTCTAAAATCTCAGGAGCTTGTCAGAGCTATTCAAACCCCTTACTCCCCAAAGCTTCTCATTCCCCAGCTTTTCCTCCTAGTGTGTTTGGTTAGTATATTGTTTGACCCGTTTCCCAGTTCCCTGAGCAGCAAAGACCTAGTATATTTTGCCTTTAAATGCCCCTTGCACAGCCCGCTGGGCCCTGGGAGAGTTTTGAGGTACTAGGTGAGGTAAAGGCAAGCCCTTTGAGCTGGTCAGAACAAACCACCACAATTCTATAAAAATAACGTTTGTTCAGCTCCCTCCAGTACTGCCATCTGTACTGGGAACGTGGGCTGCTATTCAGGGCCACTGCCAATTTGTGGGTGTGTGTGTCAGGGGGGAGGGAGGGGTGGTGGAGGCTGAGGGATTAATGGGACCAGGAAATGCCAGGAAGCTCTTACTAATATTCAGATAAAGCATTCCCCTGGTTGTTGCAAACTTTTCTTTAGTTTCCAGAGTTCCAAAAACGTTGCCAGTTTAGTCATTGCGTTAGTGGAGGGATGCACTTTGGAGTTGCCTACTCTGCCACTTTTGCTGAGTCCCAGTGTGTTTTTTAAATGAGAAGCCTCAGTATTACATGGTCTAGCCAGCATTTGGTCCTAGATATGCTCAACTTCAACACTGTGTGCTCTTAAACTTACCTTTTACTGCCTCCCCGTTAAGCTGTTACACTTCTTCTCTTTGTCTTGAACACAGTTTCACAAGTCTGGCTATCATTTCCTAGCACAGAGCAGTTAATAAGCTGCAAATGAGAGGGGTGGGAGTTGAAGAATAGGTGCCACCAGAAGTAATAGATGGCGGGAAAACTAAAACGCAGAGCCTGTAAGGCAGAATGGCTTTACTCCTCAGTAACTCCTAAACTCCATAACAAGAGTCATGGATAGTCATACTTCCTGAATCAAAATATTTTAGATACGGTATTAAGAAGAGGCAAAATCATATTCATATGTTTAAGAAAGCAGGAGTTACTCCATACCTTAGAAAGATTGTCCCCAAAGTAGGGTCTGAGACTAGGATTTAGGCGTGGGTTTTATTTTGGCCGTGATCCTTAGAAGCAGGAGTGAGGGAGTGGGAAGGGAGTACGAGGAGCGTCATTAGAGGAGACATGTCAAAGTTGTCTTGAGGGCAGTGGGGGCTGAAATCTACTGGAACCTCCCCGAAAGCCTGCAGAATACCGCCTAGAATTGTCCACTTGGATCTGCTGGCTCCTGTCTTGCCTTGGTTGAGGGTTGCCTGTGGGCACTATGCCTACGTGGTTCATTGAGCTCTTCAGTGTTGGAGAAGCCTTGGGGAGAACAGTGGACAGTGTGTACTTGAAGTGGTCTGTCATCACAAGAGGCTGAGCTTGCACAGAAATGTCCACTACAGCTATGGTTGAAATCATGGTGTGTCAAGTAGATGCAACACAGGGTATCAGAGGATCTGCTAAAATTACTCCAAATAAAGTTTTGGTACTTAGTAAGTTTCAGCTCCTAGAAAAGTAGGCACTGTATAGAACCTCACATTCCAAAGCTTTCCTTAACAGATGAGGCATTGCCGCATCAGTATTCTGTCTCAAATGAAGAGCCACCTCATCGATTGCTGTCTCTCTATAGGAATTGGCGGAGGAATCATCCATCAGCATGAACTGATCCATGGAAGTTCCTTCTGTGCTGCAGAACTTGGCCACCTGGTTGTGTCTCTAGATGGGCCTGACTGTTCCTGTGGAAGCCATGGGTGCATTGAAGCTTATGCCTCTGGAATGGCCTTACAGAAGGAAGCAAAAAAGCTACATGATGGTTGGTTTCTTTCTTCTGAGGGATTAAAAATGGTAGAAAAACGCTTCAGAGTAGGCATTCCACAGAGGCTGAACACTGACAGCAGAGCTCTTACCGTTTTCCCTTCCTAGAAGACAAGTGGAGCTCTCTCACACTGAAGCTCCACAGCCTCCTTAGTCCTGACCCATGTCAATACTCTCCTTCTGCGGGGTGGAGGTGGACAGGGTCCTGAGCTCCAGGGGAGTGGGGAAGATGTCTTTCATTAATGTGTGTGTGTGTGTGTGTGTGTGTGTGTGTGTGTGTGTGTGTGTGTGCGCGCGTGCGCACGCGCGTTTTCATTGATTTCAGAGAGGGAGAGGGAGAGGGAGAAATAGAAACATCAGTGATGAGAGAGAATCATTGATTGGCTGCCTCCTGCATACCCCCTACTGGGGATTGAGTCCATAACAGTGGCATGTTCCCTTGATCAGAATCGAACCTGGGACTCTTCAGTCCTCAGGCCAATGCTCTACCCACTGAGCCAAACCAGCTAGGGATATCTTTCATTTTTGTTTTCTCAGCCCCTAGCACAGGGGTTAATACATATCAATACACATTTTAATGAAGAATTAAGTGGAGGAACATATTTTAGTTCTTGAATTATAAAAGGTCTATTTGAACTAATACTGTTTCTGGCTGTTATTAAAAGAAAATGGTTTCCATTCTAATGCAAGAGGGATTTAATATAGTATCTCAGGTGCAGAGAGAATGATGGCCAAGAAATATAGATGCATATATAAAGACACCAGTGTTCCCTCCCACTTTCTCCGTACAGTGAAGGGAGTGTTAGGTACTGTCCTGAGAGGTCGAGAATTGGAGGGTAAAAAGCACTCGGAGGCAAGTTTGAATGGGCACGGGAACATTTCCAAGCTTGGAAAACTGGTGTTGGTGCATAAAGGCAGAGTATCATGTATTGTAGTAAGAGGTAAGCCAGAACTAGCAGCTAATGGAGAAGCCACTGAAAAATTTTAGGGAAAGATACAGTCAGATCTGAATTTTAGATTCTTCACTGAGTTGTAAATTTTTGTTTCCTGGAGGAAATGGTCGTTGAATAGAGGATAGCTTTAAATGGGGCAGTTCTATAGAGTGACTTCAGTTTTCTGGTTGGACAAGCTGTGGTCGTGGATATAAGACAAGGAACAGGTTTTGAAGGAAGGCAATGGTTGGGTACAGGTGGGACATCCATATGCAGGTGGAAATGCATAGGAGGCAGCAGCTACAGGGGCCTGATGCTCAAGAGAGAGGACTAGACTAGAGGTAGGGATCAGCATGGAGGTGATAGTTAAACCTCTGAAAGGGAACTGAATGATGCAAGAGTCAAGAATGGAATCCTGCTAAACAGCATTGCGAATAGGAGGAAACCCAGGAATGGGTCAAGTCATAAAGCCAAAAGGGAGTGTTTCAGGGAGGTAGTCTGTAGTGTCAAATGCTGCTCATGAGTCAGAGGAAATCAGAAACGTTCTTTGGTTTTGGTCATGAGGACATCGCTTGAAGCCCTGAGATATTTTTTTCAACCTTGTTTTTATCACCCTGACAGGGAACCTGCTTAGATGTTTTTCCTAATCACCTCACCCCATGACACTGTAAAACCACAGATATATTTTTTGTTTATGTACTCTCTGTTTAAAAAGATTCTTTGCGCCCAAGAATCAATTTCTGCCCCCTCTTCCCCCAGGGGCAAATGCCTGTCTTGAAGTTCAGTCAGATAGTGGAGGCAGAAGCCTAACTGCACCGAGGAAGAGGGAGGAAGTGGGATCTGTTAGCACGAGACAGGGAATGGACGCAGCAGTTGGGAGTGCAGGGGAGAAAGGGTGGTCCCTACAGGACGGCCCTGGAAGACGGGGGGAGAGATGAGTGCAGAGCCGGGCGGAGGACCCGAAGAGAGGGAACGAAGGAATGAAGGTGTGCATGTACTGCCTGCTTGTAGTTGGGGGCTGAAAAGTAAAGGAATTCCTGCCCGTCCTTTATTTATCCAAGAGGTCAGAAGTATGGGAATGTCTTGGTGAGAGTAAGGGGTGAGCCGGGAAAGGCCTGAGGAGGTGAAGCCTTCGAAGAGGCAGCTGTGAGCCCCCAGGTGATCTTTAGTAAGCCTTCAGCAGGTGATCTTTAGTAAGCCTTCAGCGTGGTTTAGCTCTTCTCTCATCAGAGCCCGAGGATAATAGAGAAGGAGGCAGGGTGATCTGAGTTGGTGACTGGTAGAGTGAGGAGCAGAAAAACAACTATAGATAACAGAAACATCTACTGTTGATTTAGCTTTTAGTCTGGCCCCCATTTAACTAAAACTACTTTATGGTCCATTATGTCATTTAATCCCTACCATAATCCTGCTAGGATAGGTATTATTATATTACCCGGTCTCACAGAGAAGAGAAACATAAGGAGGTAACATGAAGTGGACAGGGTTGTGCAGCTCGTAATGACAGAGCTGGCAGCTGAAGCAGGTGTGTGCTATTTCTCAGGTGCTGCGCCTTCCCACCTTGGAAAGCAGGCACTGGCCCGTTATGCCACATTGCATCTGGGCTGCATAAGAAGGGAGAGGAGTGCAGGGAGTCTGATGAATCTGCTTCATATGGAAGTGAGAAGTGGGAATGCTAGAGCAGGGGTGGAGGGTGGGGGGTGTTCTGGTCAGAACTGAGGGTTTTACAGTGAGGGACATTTCAGGCAGTGTATAAGCGGGCCATGAGAGGGCAGCAGAGGCCTCTGGGGAGTGCATATGGATGTTTATGAATGATGAGCTCTGCAAATGTGAAAACATTGTCTTCTCACTTGGGGGCTCGCTGCCCACTGGAACCAATGTAATCTTGGCCTCCCACTGGGCTGCCACAGCTCATTATTGACTGTCTGTCCTCCTCACCTCTGCCCAAACAGAAGACCTGCTCTTGGTAGAAGGGATGTCAGTGCCAAAAGACGAAGCTGTGGGTGCACTTCATCTTATCCAAGCTGCGAAACTTGGCAACGTGAAAGCCCAGAGCATCTTGAGAACAGGTGAGTGTCAGCTCCTGGCAGCTCTGCCAAAGGGGACGCCCCTGAAACCACCCAGAGGCTCAACTTCCCTCAGGCCTGGGCTCGGAGTGTTCATTCAGAGGTGTTTTTCCTGTTTACTGAGAGAGGAAGGGACTTGCTTCAAGATATTTGGCAGCATTGTCTTTTTAAGTGGGTTTTTTTGTTTCTTAGTTTAGTTTTACAACTATGAAGAAACAACTTGTTCATGTTATAGGAAATTTAGAGAAATAAGAGTAAGGAAAAGTGTCACTTTCAGTTTCACTGTTTCAGAGATATCAACTATTAACATTTCCTACCAGTATTTCTATTTTATTTTTAATAGTTGAGACTATAAAGTGCAGTACGTATACCATTTTATACCCAGCTTTTTTCCAAAGTATCCCATGATTATTTTCTCATAATTAGAATAAATCATGAGCTTGGCCAGTATGGCTCAGTGGTTGAGCATCAACCCATGAACCAGGAAGTCTCAGTTCAACTCCTGTTCAGGGCATGTGCCTGGGGTATGTATGGGGGCATGGGGGGAAGTGGGGGTGCGGGGCTGCAGGAGGCAGCTGACCAATGAATCTCTTTCATCATTGATGTTTCTATCCCTCTACCTCTCCCTTCCTCTCCCTGAAATTAAAAAAAAAAAAAAAAGAGAAGAAGAAGAAATAGTAGTCATGAATACCTTTATAAAAGTACGGCTTCAGCCCCAGCTGGCTTGGCTCAGTGGTTAGAGCATCAGTCTGCGGACTGAAGAGTCCCAGGTTCGATTCTGGCCAAGGGAACATGCCTGGGTTGCAGGCTCGATCCCCAGTGGGGGGCATGCAGGAGGCAGCCAATCAACGATTCTCTCTCATCATGGATGTTTCTCTCTCCTTCTTCCTTCCTCTCTGAAATCAATAAATAAATATATAAAGAAAAGATTGTACTTTTCTGTAAAAATAAAAAACAAAAAACTACAGCTTCAGGTACTTATTACATAGTGTGGATGTTCTTGGCTGCTGGCTCTTTTCCATCTTCCTCTGGGGCATTTTTAACTTTGTTCTCTTCCTGAAACTTATTTTTTATTTTTCTGTAGCTGGAAAGGCTTTGGGCCTTGGGGTTGTGAACATCCTCCACACTGTGAACCCTTCCCTTGTGATCCTCTCTGGAGTCCTAGCCAGCCACTATATCCACACCGTCAAGGACGTCATCCGCCAGCAAGCCTTGTCCTCGGTTCAGAATGTGGACGTGGTGGTCTCAGATTTGGTGGACCCTGCCCTGCTTGGTGCCGCCAGCATGGTTCTGGACTACACAACGCGCAGGATCTACTAGGCTTCCAGGAGTGCTCCCGACAGACGCTCAGGTTGTCTTTTAGACGTGCATTTCTTAAAAAGCAAATCTGAGGTTTAAATTTGGTAGTTGACAGGCGACTTTGCAGAGAAGTTTGTGCTTTTAGTCTCCTCTTCCAAAGTCACCTTTCCAACCTCCATTTTTGTAGATGCTGCTCTTCCCGGGGTCATTTCAGCTCACACCCTACAAATATCACTCAGTTTTCTGTGTCACAAGGAGCTGCAATAGCCTTAGACCTTTGCTTTCTAGATGTGCCGCTCAGACCGACAGGTGTTGCTTGGGAATGTGACTTTGATGCTAGAGTTTGGATGATTAATCCTTCCTCCCTAAATTTAATGATTGAAAGGGATCTAGTCAGCACAGAAAAAAATCTTACTGTGAATGGTTTAAGTGAACTTTTTAAGTTTTCTTGAGGTGTTTTTAAGTGCCCAGTTTGATAAGCTTCAGTATATGTATGCACCTGTGAAACCATTACCACCATCATGACACTGGACATACTTGTCACCCCCCAAAATTATTTGTTACTACTCACAGGACCTTGAGCAGCTCAGACCAGGGATCTAAACTACAGTGGCCTTCGTGACCTTGTCTTCTTAAGGACAGCTGAGAAACCGCTAGGATTTAGTCTCTGAGGGAGATTAACCATCTCTAAAGGATTGTTGCTACTGACGAGCAGACACCTCTCCCTTCAGTAGCCTTTCATACTACATTGAATATGACCCTGGAGTGTCTTATCATGGCAGGGTTTGCATCAGACCTAGAGCTGACGCCTGTGAATCTGGATTCTAGCTAAATAAGATTCTGTGCTTTCAAAATACACAGGCCACAGTTCTTGCTGTCAATTACATCCTGGAAGAAAAACTAATAGCCACCACTTATTAAGTGCCTACTGTATGCCAGGCTCTGAACTAGGTGTGCCTCAAATACATTATTCTAAATTCTTGCAGCCTGTAACATAGGTGTTTTAATTCCCATTTTAATAGAACTTCAAATTGTCTTAATGTTTAAACATACCTAAAACCATGTGGCTAGTGAGTCTGAAGAGACAGGGTTTGATCTCAGATCCCCTGTGCTTTTTCTGCGAAACTATATAACCTCTCATATAAAAAAGCTTTCAAAATGAATATATTCTAATTTACTGCAGGCTATCAAAAGTTTTATTTAATAAGAATATTAAATGTGGGTACTTTTAGATGAGCTAGAAAAGCATATAAATGTGTTTTTCAGATTGTTGAAACATTCCCAATGATTCCTGGGAGGGAAGTAGTCTTCTCAGCCATCAGTGTCTGAATCTAAAACCAAATCTTAGTTTTTAATAAATTTATTAAAATTTATTAAATTCAATATAAATATATTCCAGCATAATTATTACATATGGTTAATAATCATATCTTAATTTATTTTAATGTAAATATTTGCTACTGAGCCAAATTCTAAAGAAAAAATAAATACACGTCATTGTGAAAATCCTAGCACTTTTATTGTTTTGTTCTTAAATTAGCTCACTACCTAAAAGCACTTCCCTTCCCAGAAGAGATTTACATATTTGTATCGCTTACTTTCTGAAGGTCATGTAACTTCTTTCAGTCATCTAATATGGATTTCCTAACCAAAAGAAAAATAACTTTGATAATAGAAAGCATTATTAGGTAACATTTTAAAAATATATTGTGAAATGATCACAGTCTGTCTCCATATATAGTTATAGCATTTTTCTCCCCTTGGGAAGGACTTTTAAGATCTACTCAGAAACTTTCAAATATCTGATACAGTAATTACAGTTGCCATATTGAATATTACATCCCCAACGAATTATTTATTTTGTAACTGGAAACTTGTAACTTTTGACTCTCTTCACCTATTTCACCCACCATCAATCTACCCCCACCCCTGGCAACCACCAATCTGTTCTCTAAACTTATGAGGTTGGTTTGTTATTTTTTAGATTCCACATGTGAGATCAGATAGTATTTTTCTTCTCAGTCTGATTTATTTCACTTAGCATAATACCTTTAAGGTTCATTCATGTTGTTGCAAATGGCAAGATTTAATTTTTTATGGCCTAATAGGAATCCTATATAATAAAAGCCTAATATGCAAATTGTCCTCTTGGGCGGTCATTTGACCTGACGAGAATGGGACTGCGATGGGATGGTGGAGGTGAGCGGGCAGCACCAGGCCAACACAGGTGCGAGCAGGGGCTGATAACTCTGCTGATCACTCCACAGATGGTGACCAGTGGCAGTGGTGGGGGTTGTGGGCCAGCTCCCCGGTGCTGAGGGAGCTGGGCTGGGGGCCCGGCCCTGAGGAATTGCACTGCAGGCAGGATGGTGAAGCAGGTGATGGGCAACACCAGGCCAAGGCAGAGTGCCAGGCGGGGCTACAAGGTTGGGGGCACAAGCTGGGGCCTGATCTTTACAGGCTAGTCCAAGGGACCCCACCCGTGCACAAATTTGTACACTGGGCCTCTAGTATGTATTTATGTGTGTGTATACTGAGTGGCCAGATTATGCGTTCAGAGATCATAAAAATCTGGCCACTCAGTGTGTGTGTGTGTGTGTGTGTGTGTGTGTGTGTGTGTATTAGGCCTGGTGTATGGATTTGTGCATGGGTGGGGTCCAGCTAGCCTGACCAGGGAGAGGGGACATGGGTGGTTGGCTGGCCTGCCTGCTGGTTGAACTCCTGGTTAAGGAGACAATTTGCATATTAGTCTTTATTATGTAGGATATACACTGAGTGGCCAGATTATTACCAGTTCAGAGATCATCATAATCTGGCCACTCAGTGTATATTCAGCACAATTTCTTTATCCATTCATCTGTCAATGCACACTTGGGTTATTTCCATACTTTGGCTATCTATAATAATAAAAGGGTAATGTGCTAATTAGACTGACCATCCTTCTGTATGTCCTTCCTGACGAAGCCAGGGTGGGAGGGAAGCCAGCCCTGGTCCCGGTTGCCCACAGGCAGCCTGAGGAAGGAAGCTGGGTGCCGGTAGCCGGGGGAAGGAAGGCCTACTCTTGCATGAATTTTTGTGCATCTGGGCTCTAGTAAATGATGATGCAATGGACACAGGCCGCCTGTATCTTTTTGAGTTAGTTTTCTTTGGACACTCAAAAGTGGAATTGCTGTTTTATGATTGTTCTATTTTTAATGTTTTGAGGAATCTCTTACTGTTTTCCAAGTGGCTGCACCAACAGTGCACAAGGGTTCTTTGCTTTATATCCTCTCCAACACTCAGTATTTCTCTTTTTGATAATTGCCATTCTAATAGGTAGGTAGAAGGTGGTATCTCATTATGGGTTTAATTTGTATTTCTCATCTTTTCATGTACCTGTCGGCTATCTGTATGTTTTCTTTGGAAAAATATTTATTCAGATCCTCTTCCCGTTTTTTTAATCAGATTGGCATTGTTTGTTTTTTTGCTATGGTATTCTATGAGTTTTTTAAACTCAGTTTTGGATATTAACACTATCTTATGTGATTGGTAAATATTTTCTACCGCTCAGTAGGATGCCTTTTTATTTTGTTGGTGGTTTCCTTTGTTGTGTGGAAGCTTTTCAATTTGATGTAGTCCCACATGTTTAGTTTTGCTTTCGTGACCTCTGATTTTGGTGTCAAATCCAAAAAAAAATCATCACTCACTAAAACAGATGTCAAGGAACTTAACTGCATATGCTTCCTAGGAGTTCTGTGGTTTCAGGTCTTACATTCAAGTCAATCCATTTTGAGTTAATTATTGTGGTGTATGGTTTAAGATAGTGGTCTAGTTTGTGAAAACAATTTATGAGAGACTGTCCTTTATTGAATATTGTTGGCTCCTTTGATGTAGGTTAATTGACCATACATGTGTAGGTTTATTTCTGGGCTTTCTATTCTGTTCCATTGATGTGTCTGGGTTTTTTTTGCTAGTACCATACTGTTTTGATTATATTTAATAGCTTTGTAATATAGTTTGAAATCAGGGAGCTTGATGTCTCCAGCTTTGTTCTTTGAATTCAAGCTCCCTGACTTCAAACTATAGTACAAAGCTATTATGAACAAAACAGTATGTTCAGGATCTTTTGTAGCTCCATGTAAATGTTAGGGTTGTCTTATTTCTGTAAAAAATGCCAGAGTAATTTTGATAGGGATTGCACTGAATCTGTAGAATGCATTGGGTTAATGTTATTATCTTTCCTCCCTAGCTGGTTTGCTCAGTGGTTAGGTTAGCCCACAGACTGAAGGGTCTCTGGTTTGATTCCTGGCACCAGTTGGGGCGCGTGTGGTAGATAATCAACCGAAGAGTCTCTATCCCATTAATGTTTCTCTCTCTCTTCCTTTCCACTCTCTCTTAAAATCATTGGGAAAACTAACTTCTGGTGAGGATTAACAAAAAGAGTTCTTTCCATTTATTTGTGTCTTCAATTTCTTTCACCAGTGTCTGATAATTTTCAACGTACAGGTCTTTTACTTCCTTGATTAAATGCTTAGGTATTTTATTATTTTTAATATTGTAAATGGGATTGTTTTCTTCTCTGGTAATTTATTAGTATATAGAAACAAATTTCTGTATATTGATTTTGTATCCTACAATTTTACTGAACTCATTTATTGTAACAGTTTTTTGGTGGACTCTTTAGGGTTTTCTATATATATATCATTTACAAATAGTGAGTTTTAGTTTTTCCTTTCCAATTTGGATGATGCCTTTTCATTTTCTTGCCTAATCGTTCTAGCTATGACTTTCAGTACTATGTTGAATAACATTTAAAATTTGACATAAAAAGCAAAGTGGCCCCAAGAAAGTGGTTTGAAACTAAATGCTGAGCACTTGATGAGACCATGGGAACTTCTTCCTTTTTATGTAGCCCAATGAGGGTAATATAGGCTTTAGAAGCAATCTCAAATTACTATTGATTGCTGTGTCAACTTAAAGAGGCTTAAACAATAATCACTCTGCCATGGTTTCTAAGGGTCAGGAATTTGGGAAAGGCTCTACTTGGCAATTTTAATGTAGGGTATCTGGTGCACTTAGTACCTGGAGCTGGAATAGCAGGATGCTGGAATACTAGCCACTGGCCAGGCACCTCTCTCTGCTTGTAGTTTAAGGGCTGCTCCATGTAGGTTGATTTGGGCTTCCTCACAGCATGGCAGCCTCGGGATGCTCAAGGACTACCAGAGCTTGTGTGTTCCAACAAAGCAGCTAGCTGGCAAGCTGCATGCCTATTATGACCTAGCCTTGGAAGTCACATGCCATTACTTTTGTCATATTATCCAGTCACCTCTTGATCTGAAGAATGTTAGAGACTTTACTGACATTTTACAATTGTCACATCCACCTTAAGAAGCTCATTTGGTATGGAAGGCAAGACCAGTCTAGAATGCACCACCAGAATAACACCAAAGGTAAGCTGTGGGCATAGAGGGCCATGGGAGCTCAGGGGAAGGAGAAAGGGAAGGCACTGTAGAGGTGTCCTTTTACTAATTCTTAACCTGGATTATTACCTGTTGGATGGCATTAACA